AAGGCTGATATTAACTGCCTTAATTGCTCTTCCATCGCTCTTGTTATTGGCATTCAAATCCCACTTCTGACACCAAAAATTGTTGCGTGCGTACGGGTTCGTTATGAAATGAATGCACAAGTCCGATGAAAAATGAACAAAAATTTATTATTATCACAACAAAAATGCTTAAATTTTCTCAAATTATCATGCAGTATTACAATATCTCACAGTAGTTATCTTTTAACTACTCAAATGTCCAATAGAACGTAATTCAAAACAGCTAAAGAACGCTAATCCGCGAATTCGCTACAATCAACAAGAGCAGTTTTCTAAACAACAACAAACTAAGCAACTACTACAAACTGAGATGTTTTCCTCCTTTTATAAGATTTTAAAATCACGCGCTAGAATTTTCCAGTACTTTCTCGAAATCAAAAAGAGGTATTTATTTATTTAATGCACGCGCTGTTGTATTTTCAATTTTCCGGCTTAGCTTTCTTTTAATATTCGTCACGCGCTACACTGCGCGAGAAATGAAACCATTTAATTTATAATTGAACTAACATTAGCTTTTTAAATACCAAATTCGTAACAATATTTTAACGCAAATATCCATTTCCATCGCTATCAAATGCCATTTAACGATGTTTTTGCTTGATATCTGTACGTAAGGACAGAATAAAGGACTCTTTTCCCCCCAAAAATTGTAAAACTAATTTAAAATGAATTCTGAAGAGAATTTTTTGTTGCGTCTGTGCGTACGTACGCATTTATCTCGCATAACTCAAAAACGATTAGCCTCAGAACTTTGAAATTTTCTATGTAGGACTGCTATAAACATGTAGATGTGCACCTTGTATTTTGGTTACAGTGGGCAGCACCAAAATTATATAAGTATGTGTTTATATATATCCATTCTGCTACTCGGCTCAGTGATCTCAGTTTCTTTATTCTTATATGTTTGTAAATTGTACATTTTTTTGCTTTAAAAATGGTTGAATTATGCTGTTCTTATCTTCCGGTTAAGTGTTTTATGCCTTTAGTAAATCTGCAAGCAATATTTGTACAATTATCAACAATTTAAAAGTTGTTTAATTGCCGCTAAGCCTAATAATTTTTATCACGTCGGCGAGAAAGTAAGCATCGCAATAACAAAGATAACGCCTTCTTTTATTCTTGCTTAATACATTCTGGAATTTATTACAGGAAATTAGTGTTTAAGATTTATTTCATAATTTTCAACACAGACATTTTAAGTTTTTTTGTATTTTTGCCTTGTCAGTGAGAACTGATTTAGTTAATGAGAAATACTGAATCGTCTGCGAAAACTGACTTTTTTGAACCTAGGGCTAGAGTATCGCTATGATAAACAAATATAGTGAATTTTAAAGAGTGCATTTATTCTATTGAGGTTTGCGTGCTATCGCCGAAGTAGATTTAATTCAATCCAATAAGTTTAAATGAAATGCAAGAAAAAATGTGTATAATCTAATATTTCGTACAAGGATGTCATGCGGTGCACACATCATATTTTTTTAAGTTAAGTCTCTTCTCTTAACTAAGCATTTTAACTTCCTTGTACGAAGTAAAAGAAGTACTGTAATCGGGAACCGTTTTGAGTATCATATTCAAACGAAAATATCAATTTGACCGCTCTCGAATGCATTTAAACCATGTTTTTGGGTGACATCTGTACGTACGGACAGAATAAATATCTCTTTGCCCCCAAACGTATTGAAAAATAAATTTAAAGTGGATTAAGAATTAATTTTTTTCGTCACGTCTGTAGGTATGTACGTATGTATGTGCCTCGCATAACTCAAAAACGAATAACCTCAGAACGGTGAAATTTTCTATATGGGACGGCTAGTCCATATCGTTGTGCACTTCCCTTTTAGGTTGCAATCAGCCGCACTATATATATATATATATATATATATATACACCCACTGTATTTGCCGCCTCTTGCTCAGGCCTTTTTATTCTTACATGTTAATAAACTGTGCCTTTTTGGCTTTGAAAGCTAATGAATTATGTTGTTCAGGTTCCGGTTAAGATTTTTTTATGCCTTTAGTTAATCTGCAAGCAATTGTTACAGAATCATCAAGAATTTAAAAGTTGTTTAAGAAGTATTAAGCCTAACGTAGCTCCCATTTATTTGCATTTGAAGAATCTTAGTAGAACAGTAAATTAAGCCAGTTTTTGCACCTTCAGTGTCTTTTTGCCGAGTGAGAACCAACAGTAAACTTGTACGAATTTTTTTAACTAGCTTAACTGTATTTAGCGTTTTATGTTTTTCTGTATCTTACAATTTTTAATGAAGATGTTCTGAGTTTTATGTATTTTTGATTTGATGTGAAGTGAGAACTGAATTGATTGAATGAGAAATTTATCTCTAATGAATTAAATCTAGTTCGCCGACAGCGCATAAGCCACAACAGAATAAATGCATTCTTTAAAATTCCCTCTATTTGTTTATCATAGCAACACTCTGGCGCTAGGTTCACTTAACAGTATTATATTTCGTTCATATTATAACTTAAAATGCACAAAATTTATATTATTTAAAGAATTATCTAATCGTTGCAACATGTTCTATTCAAATACTATAAATAAAGCTAGAACGATGTATAAAAGAAATTAAGGAAACAAAACTAAAAAGAAACAATTTTTCACAGACAATTGAGTACTTCTCATTCAATTAATTCATTTCTCACTTTGCGACAAGGCAAAAATACATAAAAAGTCAAAATATCTGCATTAAAAATTACGAAGTAAATTTTAAACACTTATTTTTAGGTTTATTTCTTTCTTTATTTTTTTAACTGAGAAGATATGGATTCAGGTTAATTAATTTATGCGGAGAAAGTTTAAATACAATGCAAAACTAACACAGCATGCATGTATTAATGCTCTATTAACATATTTTATTTCTTTTTCAGTTATGATAAGTTATTTTTAGAGAAATCTTTAGTTATGATAATATCGGGCGATAAATAATGCTTAAGATTTCTCTTGTCATCCAAACTGAGTCTTAGGGAAACTGTTTAGCTCATAAAATTTGAAATAGTATTTTTAATGTTGACATGAAAATAAATTATTTAAACTGGGTTATTCTTATTTGCCTCCATGCAAGTTTAAATTTGAAAAAAAAAAAACAATTCTCAAATTTTGACAAAATGACTGGAGAAAAGTTGTTTTAGATTTCGTAAATCTCAAAGTTTATTGAAAAAGTTATGTTTCTGATGCTAAATAATTATAGCATCTAACTTGCGAAAGGAAAAATACGTTTTCCTGATAATGAAAAGGCAAAAGGATGCACTTAAAATACATTTTGTTGAAACATGCTAAGTGTTAACAATATTTGTATTATCTTCGGTAAATATATAAGTTTAACATATATTTAGAGTAACGCTTGTCAACTATTATTGATTTATTATTGGCATGAATGTTTCTTCTCGATACAAAATTGATTAATCTTAGACCGTTTGTTAATAGTTAAGGATATGTAGATCTTGTAATGGAATGCATAATTAGATGCCATTTAGCTACGTGTTCCACAAATCACTCAGTTTTTCAAGAGAACATTTTAGGTACCTATACTTAAATAAGGTACAAGTGTTTCGCTACCAACATTATGGTATGATTAGACCAATGTTGCGATCATCCGAAGAAACTCAGTTCGGGGGGTTAAGAAAGTTCAGTAAAAAAGAAAAATCCAAGAGTTAAAGAGTTTTCTCACTTTCAAAAACTGTATATTTCATTATGAATAATAATATAAATATATAATTAACTAACTAAATAAGTAAAAATAAAAACAAATAATGATAAATTCTTTGACAGCTAAGCAACTTGTTCCAGAATTGGATGTGTACATTGTTTTCTGTAGCTATTTTTATGCTTCTATTCTGAATATTCGATTCTTTTTCTATCAGAAAATTTCGGGAAAGTATTATGATATTTTGACTCTATAAAATATTTTATAACTGTATAAAATGTAACTCTATAAAATACTTTATAACTGTTTACTTTTACCTAATTGCGGAAAGAAATAAAATTAATTTATTATAAAATGTCGGCAATCTAGTTTTAAGCTTTCATTTACGCTAAAGTATTTATAATGAAAGGTTAAAAAAGAAATTCGATGTGAATGGACAGTTTTTCATTCGTGTATTTGTTAAAATGCTTATGAGTGAAATTTGTGCTAAAAATATCAATGTACTAATTCCTTTAAGCTGAATTGTAATAATTTATTATAGAAATCCATTTTCTGTACCTCGATCAGTTTAAATCACAGAATTCTGCTCATGTGTATCTGTTTAACTATTATTTAACTTAAAGTTTTTGAAGCATGATTTTGTTTTATGTATGAGCAACAGGATATATTTTCAGAAGTTAATAAGCTTAAAATCATATGTTATATATTTGTTTGGTTTATTTTTACGGTACTTTATATTGTAAGTTGCCTTTTAGTTTTATAAAACAGGATATCTCTTTAATTAATATTGTACTTCGAAAGTCACCTTTTCTAAGTTAATGCAGTGTAGAGTCATTAGGTTACTTTGATGCGTAGGAAACGTGAAAAATGTGCAGTGCCCTCCCTGGGACTCAAACTACGGATCTCTGGATACGCGCCGAGTGTGTTAACCATTACACAACGAAGGCATGTAGAAAGGAGGGAGAAAATACCTTATAGTAGTGATTATCGTAATAACTGTTCATCTTAGCTTTGGTAACTTAAACAGAGTACCAGCTCAGATATGATAAATACTTTTTTGCATTATAATTGTGGATTATCTGGCTAAAATAAGCTTGATCGAAGGAAAGATGGGCACAAATTCAGCAAAGGTTTTCTAAAAGAAATCATTCTTAATTTTCAGACACACACACACAATAATAATAATAAAATAAAATAAAATTAAAATTAAAATAATAAATCACAAATTTTTTCTTTTACAAAGAGTAATAAATTGTGAAAACTAACCGCCTGTAAGACTGAAGCGAATTAATGTACTTACAGTTGATATCCAGTGTCACAGAGGCTTCCACATGAGGTGAGATGTTGTTATTAGCTGCTTGACATGTCAGAGTTGCCATCAAATCCCGACGCTGTAGTTTTTCTATGTAAAGCTCATTTCGAGTTGTACCAAGAGATGGCGTTTCATAACTATCATCAATGATTCTTCGACCCCTCCACCACATCAGAGAGGGGGGAGGCTTACCTAAAATGAACAAAAAAGGAAAAATGAATTTGCAAAATTATTCCAAGTCAGTATAATTATAAGTCAGGTCAGCTTCAGATCTGCATATTTGTTTACAGCGACATGTAACTTACGTGAATCATATTTTTATTTATATAAATTCATGTGAAGATGTTGGAATAAAAACAAAAATTCATTTGAACTGATCTTAGCCAACGCTGTTGCATATTCGCCACATTTATATTAAACGGGAAGTTCTTACCTGCTTTTGGAGTGCTGGTGATTTCAAGGTATGTTAAAAAACTTGTACAGCATGTCACTGCACTAAATTTAATTGCTATTTAAATTAATTAATCTAAGAAATGTATTTCATATGTTTAAGAAATTTTTAACGCAGTGGTATTTTGTACAGCGCAAAAGACCTAATGTTAATCTTTCCGAATGAAAAATCTTGACTTTGAATATAAATGTCTAAAGATGCGCAATAAGCCAGCAAGCTCCTGACAATAGCTGAGTACCATAGCTTCTGACATGGCAATATAAAGCCATAAAGTATTGCATACTCTAACGGAGGAGAGTATCTAAAAAGAATCTAGCCATCACACAGTCCTTGTCATACTTGACAATACCGTCTCGCGTCCCTGCCGCTCCTGAACAGACCTCCGCAGAAACGGTGGTTCTATAGTCCTGTAAATCAGCTGTTTTCCTCTATACAGTCCACTCTCAACGTACGGACAGAGCGAGTGACCAGGTCGAAAAGCTGAGGGAGGGATGTCCGGCCTAATTATCCGCATAAGCAGGACAGCTCACTCATGCATTGTGAGACCCTTCTCCCACGTTGAGAGAGGGTCTATGGAGAGGTGTATAGATGCTCAAATAACAGCACTCACTTTAATCGGATAATGCAATATAATAGACCATCGCAAATTTGTGCTTTGTGAATTAGATGACTCTCTCTAAAACTAATCAATAGTTCTCAATACATATATAAATATCGTTACTGAATGTCATTTCTCTATGGAAGCCGCCTCCAAAAAAGTGTCTGTAATCGTGAATGGTTTTTCAAGGAAACCTCACTGCAGTTTTATATCCCAAGTTATTAAAAACTGAAGTTATTTGCAGCGGAATTTCTTTCTTAAATTATACTTACTCCAGGCAGAAAATTATTTAGTAAAACTTCGCGAAATAGCATATAATCTATATAAAGCAGAAACAGAAATTGTTTCTCCATCTTCAATTCCTTAAACCGAGAGAAATGCACTCTGCTCTAGGATGTCTGGTGTCATTGTTCGTTTCCCCCCTAAATCCTCAGTATATATATATTTAGAAAACGAGTGTCAGCTCTTATATAAGATAGGGGAGAAAACAAACCCGACAGTTTTCAAAAATGAATAGTACAGTAAATAAAATGAACTCGTTTTTATTCATGTTAATTTGAATTATAAACTGCAGTTTAATTAATAAAAAAAATACTAAAATAACTAAATAAACAACAACAACAACAACAACAACAACAAAAAAAAAAAAAAAAAAAAAAAAAGTCTTTAGATTTTATATTACGCTCATCGAGTTTTTGTTTGGTGTTTGTGTTACCTTTATTTATTAAATATTGTTGCGTGCGTACGGTTTCGTTATAGATTAAACGCACAGATCCGATAAAAAGTTATAAAATTTGTTCTTAGCACAAGAAATAAAAACAAATTGCTGGAATTTTTCCTCAGAGGTATTCGTACAACATCACGCAATATAATCAGTAGCTATATTTTAAACTACTAAAACGAAAAATAAAACGCAAACCAAAGCACAGGGAAAGCTAATTAACCTCACCGCGAATTAGCTACAATCAACAACAACTAAGTAAACAATTGAAATCAGATGTTTCTTTCCGGCAATTTTAGAGCTTTTTAATCGGGCACGAGAAGGTTCTGGTAATTTCTGTTTTATCGCGGTTTCTGGAAAGCAAAAGAGTAGAATTACGGTTACAGCTAACACAGTGGTCAATTACATTTATTTAAATTTAAATATTAATTAAGATATATCTATCGCGTGCTCTTGTATTTTTACTTTCCCGGCGTAGCTTTCTGCTAAAAATATGACTCGTGCTGCATTGCACGGGGATATAAAACAATTAAAATTATAATTCTACTAAAAATAGCTAACTAAATACGAAATCCGTAATAATATCATGTACTTCGCACTTCAAACATAAAAGTCAATTCAACAGTAATATCATAAATTAATTTAAGAACTTCCGATACACAATCTCGCGCTCTGGAGATAAAAAATGTTTTTTTTCGTACAGTTTGCCATTGCTCGCTTTGAAATCGTTGAGTTTGTTAATCGAAAATTCGTTAAAGTTTTACAAAATATGAAGTAGATATTCAAATTCGAAATTAGGGCTTCCAGATGACCATATTCAGATTGAGGATTACGCTATTAAAAAATTGATGGCTCTAATGGCTCTAGATACCGTTGTTTACAGTGCCTGGAGCATAGAAACATTTATGCAAATTCTTCATTATTTAATTTCTTTACATACAACACAAGGAGATAATATTTGAAGGCAACAATTTGTAAAGTGATATAGCTTTTTAAAGGTTTCAAAGCAAAATGCCAAAACGAAATTAATAGCCCGTCTAAGCTAACGCGCTTTGGGCTAAAGCTAATTGTAGTACAGAAATGTAATTTCAAACTAAATGTTAAAAAAGACAGAAAATCTGAGAGGTTTCAGATTTTTAACGTCGGATCAGAAGATTTGTTAATGCATTTCATGCTTCGCTGAGTATCACGATTAGAAGAGTTCTCCTGGACTCACTCTTGCTAACACAATGTTCTTCGTACTTCAGCTTTATTATTAAACATCGCTTACTCCAGATAAAATACAAAAGCAAGACAGAAATTATGATAGAAAAAGTATGTTATTGTTGTAATTGACATAATTGTGTTTAGATTAAATAAAAGCATGCTTGCTCTGAAAATAGTACAAAGAAACTTTACTCAGAAAAATGCTTTTTAATGGTAGCCGTTACTTACTATCTCTTTAAAAAATTCTAATATTAATATAAATATGAATTTTATTTATTTCTGATTGGTTACTATGAAATTTTATCAGACCACAGTATAAAGAAATATCCATTTAAACTAGCCTTTTTCTTGTATTTCCAACTTTAAAGCTTTAAGAATTGAAATTTTGCCAAAACTTTTCTATTAACAGTTTTATAGTTCAATGTTATGAAAACGGATGGGCTCATCAGATGGTCTGGAAAAAAATTAACGCTATAACGTTTGCTAAATATAAAAAACATAAAGCATAAAATGTATTTATCCTTTTTGTTCAAATGCATACCCCCTTCAAACTGAAAAGGTACTATCTTTATCGATTTTTAAAGCAAAGTATGGTACGACTTTAGGGTTAATTCCCTCAGTTCCTGATGTCAAAGAAAATGAGCGAAATTCCATTAGTCAATGACAGATTAAAACAATGAACAGCGAAAGTATTTTTAAAATTCAGTATGAAGAAGTATTACTTTTAAATCAGAGCATATTGCTATGCGATATACATGTAGTATGTTTGTGAATGGATCATTTGCTAAAGGTACGGAGAAAAATTTGCAATGAATAGCTTCATTCTGTTATTAAAAGTATTAAATTTATTTCTTATGAATTTTCTTTATTCAGAAGATTAGTAATTTCGCTTTTATTTTAATGTTCAGATTCGTTTCTGATTTTCGTGATTATTCAGCCCTAGAAATTTTGTTCCAGCATTTTAATTATGTAGGTAGGTCCAGGATTTTCCGTCTTAGATAACAAAAAATGTTTCGCAATAAATTACGCTTACATGTACATAAAGGCAGTACTAAGTAAACAAATTTAAAAATTTTGTTGGGGCAACAGCACGCGTTTTTTAACTGTTTCCTCTGATCAGTTTTTTGACTAAAGACGATCTTAATCTCTAAGAAATAAAACAACTCTTGGATAATGTGTGTGCTGACTCTTCTCCTTCCAATGTGAAAGAATGAGTACAACAATTTCGCATGGGCCGAGAATCTCTAGAAGATATTTTTTTTTTTTTTTTTTTTTTGTTTAAAGTCATCCTGCGGGGACAATGCTCTCGCATTGATGTATTGAAATCCGGGTGCATATTAAGTACAAAACCAAAACATCAAACAATTTTTGCTAAAACAAATATATATTCATAAACGTATATAAGCATTCAAGAAGTATATGTGCGCTGTGTGTGTGAGTGTGAATGTAATGAAAATGATGTAGGAATGTTGGAAAGCGAACTGCATAATTACGTCTAACTGTTTTGTGCTATCTACATGTAGATCTTCACATAAACAAAATCTCAACAAAATGGGTACCCCGCCTTGTAAACTAACTCAGCTATTCAATAAGAATTAAAGGCTCACTGTAATTCAAAGGCAACAATGCGAGTTTAAGGAGCTTGTTCACTTACAACTCACATTTATCTCCAAGTGAATATTACTTGTTCTCGAAACCGAAATCTGATCCTCGCGAAAAGAGATTTAATGATGAAAATGGCGTGAAAAATGCAGTTATGGAACACTCTGACGACAAACATTCAGATAACTCTTGCAGGAGTATGGATTTGTTTATCAAACGAAACAATTTGACTATTTCTTTTAAAAGTACATCAAGCTGTATATTTGTGGATGTAGTTCGTATGTGCCATTAATGTTCTATGTACATGCGTACATAAAACATTGTTGGCATATCATTTTGCCAGTCCACTGGATTTTTTTCTTATAATTTAGTAACGAAATCTGGCAAAACGTTTGTTCAAGCAGATCATGCAAAAATGTCTCCCTTGCAAAATTTATTTACAAAAATATATATGCACGGTTTACATTTAATTACTCTTATGTATGTACAACATATATACGTACGCAAAAATTTCAAATTTGCAATTTTTATAACATCAACAGGTGTAAGAAATATCATCATTGACAGTAATAATGTCATTCGGTATTATAATTTTGAGCTGAAATCCAGGTGTA